ATTATGATTGAATTCCATGAACAGTAGAAAAATAAACCAGATGAATTCGACCGAATGTTACATAATTGGAACATAGAAATTATCTACAGTGCGAGCGACATGGATTATCGTATTCCACCTGAACATACCTAATTAAAGTAGACAAGAGGTCAGAAAGAGATTGAAGATCCAAACACTCTTTTTAAAGTAGATTCCTAAATTTATTGTTGTGTTTTCTCTCATAGATGGCGCTGGTATCTTTTAGATCTCTTTGGATACCGGAATACAGTATATGGTTGTACATCTTTAGGTAGTTCTTTTACAATAAACAATCCTCCAATAGGAGAGCATTTCAAGGGCCGATTTTCTAGAATTGCATCAAATTAGATAGATAGATATTTATCGATCAAATTTTAGTAAATTAATATATGTGACAAGTCAAAGAAGGAAAAAATAATTGATACCTAAGAAATATTAAAAATTACAGTTGAAAAAAAGAAGTATGACCTTCTCATGATAAGGACAATTTAAAATGTGTAAAATAAAAAGTCTTAAACAGCATACAGGCAGCTGTGTTATAGAAATTTCTTTACGTTTTCGTTTTTTCGTTACTTAAACTTATAATTTGAGATATCTCTTAGATATCTTGGTAAATTGTTGATTAGGTGGATGCAATTGTAAAATACACATCTTTCATAATGCTGTTGTTTTTGCCTAGGAAAACTTGCACTTGGAGAGTCAGGACAGGCATTTTCGCGCGACGTGTTTCTGTGAGTGGTGCAAGCCGAAAATGCAGCGTTCCTTAGAGCAGAGGTACGAGATTAAATTCTGTGTGAAACTCGGTAAATCTGCGACAGAGACGTTTGATATGATAAAGCAGGCTTACCCAGGTTTTGCTTTAGCAAGAAGTGGTGTGTTTCGGTGGCACCAGGCCTTTTTGGAGGGCCGGGAAAAGGTCGCTGATGAAGACCGTGCTGGATGACCTCCGACTTCGACAAACACCGATAATGTGACTCGTGTGCGCAAAGTTTTGAACTCAGACCGTCGACTAAGTATTCGTTTAATTGCCCAGATGTTAAATTTACCAAAATCTGTGGTTCATGACATTGTGACACAGCATTTGAACAAGCGCAAGGTGTGCGCGAAGATGGTCCCAAAAGTGCTAACTGACGACCAGCAATTGCGGCGAATGGAAGTGTGCCAAGAAAATTTGAACATGTGTGAAAGTGACCCCCAATTTTTGAATAACGTAATCACAGGTGACGAGTCGTGGATCTTTGAGTATGATCCTGAGACAAAGAGGCAATCTTCCGAGTGGCACACGACGGCGTCTCCTCGCCCAAAAAAGGGAAGAATGAGCAAATCCAAAGTGGAAACGAAGCTCATTGTCTTTTTTGACATCAAAGGCATCATCCACCATGAATTTGTTCCTCCTGGACAAACCGTCAATGCCAAGTTTCACGTGGAAGTGCTCAGGAGACTCAAACGAAGGGTCAGTCGGGTCCGACAAGACATCGCAGCCGACTGGAGGTTGCACCACGACAACGCCTCGGCTCACACCGCTTTCTTGTTAACAGCTACCTGACCAAGGCCGGTATTCCAACGCTTCCGCAGCCGCCCTACAGCCCAGATGTGCCCCCAGACTTTTTTTTTGTTTCCTCGCCTGAAAAGACCGATGAAAGGCAAGCATTTTGAGACGACAGAGGGGATCCAAGCAGCATGCACCGCGGCTCTCAAGGCTATTCCGGAGAATGCCTCCCGTGACGCCTTCAATGCTTGGAAATCGCGCTGGCAGCGCTGCATCGACGCAGAAGGAGCCTATTTTGAAAGTTTTTAAAGAATTGCAACGATTGGCTCAATACATTTTTTTAAATCGACTCAGTCCTATTACTTTCCGGACAAACCCTGTATGTTTGTATGGCCGCTAAATAAAACCACAAATGTTTCAATTACTGTGTTGACTGACACGACGTTTAGACCACCTCGGTGGCTATTTTCAAGTACAACTGACATTTTCGATGACAAAATATTTTGTTTATCTGTATTCCAGGTGACAGTTTGTTTTTTATTATTACTAGCTCATATTTATTAACTTGACCTGTTTGTATGTGTGGGACCAGTCTTGGAACTGAATTTTGAACCAGTTAACCGTAAGCAAGTGAGCTGAAATTTAGTACACAGGTTTGGTTTGCCTGACAATACAAAATGAATCAACTGCCGCTATTTTAAATCCAATATGGCTTATGCTTCAAAATGGCGATTCATTATTACCATAGTAATCTCTATGATTTTAATATCTTGTTTTTTGGCCTTTTTCTCTGCCGCCACTGGACCGATTCTCAAAAACTATCATATATATATATATATATATATATTTTGCGTCCTTGACATAGTAGTAACATTGTGTAAAAATGTCATCGAAATCCGATAACTTCTCAAGTTATAGGCTCTAAGATTAGCGGAAAGACCGACATAAAGGCAGATAGACAGATGCGACGGAAATGAGTGACATAGTTTTTCGTGATGTACATGTCATATAACATCCAAAAAAGGGAATACTTCATTCTTAAATACTTCCCCGCCAGTAGTCATGGGAAGTAAAAAGTATTTTTATATGTTTAGTTCATTTTATTAATGACTGAATAAAACCTTGTTTTAAAAAATGTGTTTTTTATTTTATTTATTCCTCTTCACATTCCCATACACTAGGGTGAATATTCAATTGAAACACTTGTTAAGATTCGATAAAACATGAAACTTATGTTGTGTTAGGTTCAGACTAATACATTATAAAACACTAGATATTTAATATACTGATAAGAAATAGAAAATTAGTTAAAGTATATGAGAGAAAGGCACAGGTAATTTTAGAAATTTCATTATTATCAATAACAGACCGAAAGTGCCTGAAATGGTGCACTCGTAGTGTTCTGGTAACGAAATCAGTGATATCTTGGCATTGTTTACTCAATACAGATACAAATAGCGATAAAATTAGCATATTGGACATACCTGATTTGCCGATATGATTTCACATTTCACATGTTGCGTGAAATATTTTCAAAATACGGCAGGTCTATAAAGGTCATTTTTAAAAACAAAGCAATAATGTTTAGTGAAATCTCTAAGGACCGACTTAAAGTGTCCGTTCAAGAGGGGTGTCCGTATAAAAGAAACATCACAAAAATCGAGTTTTTAATGAAAAATGATTATATTGAAGAAACTGGGACATATAAAACGTATAGGTATGTATATAAATGTTTTTAAAATGAACAAAAAACTTTAAACTGAAGAAAAAAGGTGTGTTACCTTTAGATATATACAAAGTACATAATATGTATAAGTAATATAGTATGTATGTACATACATATATGTAGTAACACAAAACAATGAAATTAAAAGTCACTTTAAGGACGCAAAAATTCATATATAGTCGTTTGTCTCCTCTTTTTCTTTAAAATGCCGTCTTGAAATCGTATTTTTAATTTAGAAAGAAGCTCCAAAGACTCTGTATCTCCCCGATTTTCGACAAAAGTTTTGAGCTGCTTGGTAGTAGCTCTACCATAATTTGGAATAGCTTCTGTTGGCACTAGAACCTCATCGACATCGAGAATGTTCGGAAAGTTCTTGTATTTCAACTGGATTTTCCTGAATCTGGATCTTCAACATATACTAAGTGACATATAAATCCGAACACCCAGTTTAAATGGTTTTATTTTAATAAAATTTTGTATGTACTTAATGAAGCATAATAAGTAAATGAGAAAAATTTCAAAATGCTTTAAAGCCCTTTGACCTGAATAATGTGTGGATGCACCCTGATGTGCTACGCATTCTCCAACGCGCCTAGGCATGCTTCTGATCAGGTGGTCAATGTCCTCATGGTATCTCATTCCAGGCAACCACCAACTCCTCTCGAAGTGCTTCTAGAGTCTGAGTAGGACGTTGCAAATTGAGCAATCTCCTACCCATCATATCCTACACGTGCTCAATTGGGGATAAGTCGGGAGATCTTGGTGGCCATGGTAACAATGTGACATCATTATGTTGAAAGAAGTCTATTGTGACTCTTGCAACATGTGGTCGGGCATTATCTAGTTGGAAAGTTGGATCTACCAGGGTGTTAAGATAGGGTAAAAGATGGGGTTCTAGAACTTCGTGGATATAACGCTGCGCGTTCATGTTACCTCTTATGAAGATTAAAGGTGACCTGGAACCGTAAGCTATAGCACCCCAAACCAGAACTCCAACAGTGTGATGAACATGTCTTTCAACAAAAAACTGTGGATTCCTCCTTTCACCACGTCGCCTTCTAACCCTGGCACGACCATCGTGCATGCCTAAACAAAATCGAGACTCGTCACTAAAGACAATACTATTCCATTCCTGATCCCAGAGTGACCATTGTCTGCACCACTCAAGGCGATTACGTCGGTGTTCTCGAGTTAAAGGGAGGACCCAATGTGGCCGGTATGAAAACAAGCCAAAACTTCTCATTCGTCGGTAAACACTTCGCATGCCAATAGGTCTTCCGTGATCTGCAAACCATTCATTTGCAATGGACCTGGTAGTGGAGAAACGGTCCCTTAAGGCCAATAATCTTAGGCGGCGATCTTCACGGTCTGTTGTTCTACGGCGGCGTCCAGTGCCCCTTGCTCTTTGCGTACGGCCTTCTCGAAGCCATTCCTGACAACACCTAACCACAGTGTCTACACTTCTTTGCACTCTAACTGCAATTGCCCGAAAAGAAAGTCCAGCTTCCCGAAGTCCCACTATACGGCCCCTATCAAACTCACTAATGGTACCCATTCACGTACAGGCGGACTGCAGTCCCGAACTGTGAACGATCTGGCCGTCAGTCCAAATTTCAGCATACACGTACAGGTGGCCGGCAGGTCTGTGCCTGCAGTTTACAAAGATTGCACAAAGTGTGTACGTGTGTGGTGGTTAATCGTCAGTCCGGGTCGTACGATAGCGACTTTCATTGTATTTAAAAATTGTGTACACAGTTTTGGTAAAAAATGTCTGATGTGACGTTAAATCAGCCATCGTTTGTTACTGGTTTTATTGATATTTATCGACAGTTACCAAGTTTATGGAATATTAAGTCAAAACAGTATTCAAATCGAAAAGAAAAGGCAAAGGCGTATGAGAAACTTATAAGTTATTGCAAAACCGTAGACAAAAATGCTTCGATGGATATGGTAAAAAAGAAAATTAATAATATTAGAAGTGCCTTTCGAAAGGAGCACAAAAAAGTTCTAAAATCAAAAAGAAGTGGATCATCTACAGAAGAGCTGTATGAGCCAACTCTTTGGTATTATAAATTATTGCTTTTTACGGCTTCGCAGGAAGAACCTAGGATGTCAGTTTCAAATGATGATGAGTCGGAGTCGGAGGGTGACGATGCCAATAATGAGGTAAGGAAATTTTTTGCAAATAAAAAAATCAAATAAAATCTTTTTATTTCTTGTCTAAAATAAATTCTTTAATTCTACAAAATTATCAAGTAAGATACATATTATAATAGGTACATTGATTAAATAAAATTTTCTTGCCAGGAAACTTTTCCAACAGTATTAAAGAAATTTTTATAATTCACTCTATTTTCTTTGGCTTCACGTGAAGCATTACGACCATATCCTGGTTGTAAATTATCTAATGGTCTTTCTGCTCTCCAGTCTCCCCTTATTATATCCCCTGTGTCAATAATTTCGGTGTCAACATCATTTCTCGTTATATATGAAGTTTTAGAACGTCTCAAAAAATTATGCAACGCGCAAGCTGCTAGTACAATTTTGTCAATTTTGTCAGGTTGCATATTAATTGGAGTATGGAATACTCGAAAGCGATTAGCTAATATACCGAACGCGTTCTCAACCGTGCGGCGCACACGGCTAAGTCTATAATTGAAAATAGATTCTTCTTTTGTTAAATTGTTTCCCGGGAAAGGTTTTAAAATATTTTCATGTAATGCAAACGCATCATCTGCCACAAAAACGAAATTTAAATTATGCTTTGTTACGTCATTAGAAGGCAAATTTAGCTTTTTTTCTATAAGTTTATCGTAAAATTTTGTATATTCTAAGACCCCTCCATCAGAAACTCGCCCATTACAGCCTACATTAACATATATGAATTCGTAATCAGCATTAACAAGGGCCATGAGAACTATACTGTGATAGTCTTTGTAGTTAAAAAAATATGACCCGCTGTTGGCTGGTTTAACAATTCGCAGATGTTTACCATCAATAGATCCTCCACAATTAGGAAAGTTCCATCTGGTTTCAATATTATAAGCTATTTCTTGCCACTCCTCTGATGTTTTTGGAAACTGTAAAAAAAATTATAATATACATTTTGTATTTTGTACTTTCAGGAAGATGTCACCCAGCATGATACTCAATTTTCACCGCTTACTGAAGATGCGTTGCAAGCACCGTCTGAAATATATCAGCTATCACCACCACAAACACCGCATCAGTCATCAACCTATTCACGTCCATCAACTTCCAGATCTTCTAATAGTGCAAAAAGAAAGAAGTATGGACAGGAAGAAAGTATCCAAAGGATTTGCGCTAAGTTGGACAGAGAAAATGATGAATGTGACAGTATTGGAGAAAATGTGGCCCATAAACTGCGCCGAATGGACAGCGACCAGAAAATGTATGCTGAATTATTACTTCACCGTCTTCTCTTCCTTGGTGTTCAAAAGAAATTATGCGAGGAATCTCATATATGTATAAATTCGGCACATAGCGTTTCATCTCATTATAATACTATGTTGCCAATGCAACTTCAATACAATCAACAGCCACAACCTTTAACTCCTTCTCCTTTCCAACCCATATTAACAAATCAGCAACAACAAACTTTCACTTCTTCGCAACACACATCAACTTACAATCAGCAACAAAATGTCACTCTTTCCCGACCCTCAGCAACTATTTCTGAAACACAGTACACAAATGCAGAAGGAGAAAACCTCGACATAAATATAAACTATATAAGACCTCTTGATAAAACTACCCCTGAAACAATGGAGGAAAGCGGCAACACGTCGAAACTTAAAGGATCTTTAACTGAATTGCTGGTTTTTAATCGATGAATTTACGAAACTTCAATGACTACATACTTAAAGTTTTGTTTTTACTTGTCGACTTGTTCATTATTACCTATTGTCTATGTTTTTGACAATAGAAATCAAAAGTTTATTTAAAATTCGTTTCTATAACACAAGTTGTTCACCTTTAAGTTTTTATGTAAGGATACATTTTTCAATAAAATACGTAGTTGAAATATTATTTTGAAATTTTACTAAAACATAAAAAATTACTTCAAATTACGACAAAAGCGAAAATTTTGGAATGCAAGCATAAAATACATAATTTTTAATAAGAATATTAGCGAGGTATTTAGGTTAAAAAATAAATACCTAGGTACTTTTATAAATGTACGCTTCTAAAAATTTTGGCTTTCAATCTCCTTCAACTATTCCATTTCTTTCTAAAATATTATGCACTGTATTCCAAAATTTTATGAACTTACCTTCATATATTCCTTTTTCAACGCCTTGTAAATCCATTCGCAGGTTTCTGGTATAATTTTTCCTAGTGCTTGGGGAGAAATAATGGCAGAAAATTTCAAATCCTCAAATGTACGTCCAGTTGCCAGATACCGCAAAGTCACTATTAACCTTTCTTCAGCACTAATGGCTTTTCTCATTACTGTATTCTGTCGTTTTATGTGGGGTTTAACTAAAGTTAATAATTTTCTGAAAGAAGCCTCGTCCATCCTAAGATAATTTTTAAAATCTTCGCTGCTGGAATCTTTCAATCGCTTCAGGAGTTTCATATGAGATAAATTTTCACGATCTCTTAACCATTCCTTCACCCAAAAACGTTTGCCATTTTTTCCGCGTTCATTAGTTAATAGCAAAATCAAAAGTAACAAAATAAGTTTCTTTTTTCTTAACATTTTACCACTGCTTTATTGTTCTTTTGTCTACACACTACAAGCAAGAACTGCGAAACTTTTGCGACGGACTGTGGATGTATGGCAAATAATGAGGCGACCTGCAGTTCTAGGACTGTCAGGCGATGGCCTGCAGGCCGCATCGTTTGTATACAACTGAACGTGTATGGTCTATATCGCAGGCCACGACTGCAGGTCAAATTTCAGTCCATTGCCTGCAGTCCGCCTGTACGTGAATGGGTACCATAAGTTGACTAAATCGTACAGGTCTCCGTACTCTAGGCATCGTAACCGATCGTAAAGGATGTCAAGAACCAAAATCCGCCAACGTTGATTCTTTACTGCGGCTGAAATATTCATTTTTAGAGCGTTGGTGTATTAAAAAAAAGCAGTATAAAAACCGGAATGTCCAACAGATAAGGCTGAAAATTTTTTTACTTGTTATTTACAGTAAGATAAATACATTCACCAACTTTTATTAAAATAAAACCATTTAAACTGGGTGTTCGGATTTATATGTCACTTAGTATACAAAGTTTCATCTAGGTTCGAAAAATCATAAACGTTTTCATTATCAGTCAATTTCCATAAATTTTTAGTTTTGACGATATATACGTACTTTGAGTGGTGTCATCTTCTGGGTCAGGTGTATCAGCCTCATTTAACTGGTTTTCACTTTGCATATTTTCATGCTTAAACCCAGCTTTGCGGAAGCAATTTTGCACTGTTTCTTTGATTACTTGGTCCCAAGCGGTTTTTGCCAAATAAACTCAAAAGCCATGCCAGCACTTTCAATGTTTACTACCAGGTGTTTGAGTGTTAGACTTCGGTAATGAGTTTTAAAACTCTTATAATCTATTGGTCATGTGGTTGACAAGCTGATGTACACTTAGAGGGCAAAAATGAGATTTTTGTGTTACTTAAGCGAATGCCTTTTGTTTGTCTAAATATAACAAAATGTTTCTTTTTTCTTTAGTCATTTTCCAATCTAGGTCTTGCAACCCCACTCTGTCATAACTTGTCTTATTATCCAAGCTTATTATTGCATTTCCAAGTTACAGGAATGTCATTTATATTAATGTTTTTGGACATTTAATAGAAAGCGCGTACCCAAATAATAAGAACGGTAAATCCCCGACCAATTCGGGGAATTCTCTTATTCACGCCAGGCGGAAATGCACCACATAGACTGCGTTTGTACCGCAAGATTAAGGTGGGTGAATCCCCGGCTTACTCGAAAAAGTCCCAGCGAAGATCGTGTGCTGCACGATTGAGAAATGCAATAGCGATACTCTCTACAGAAAAAATAAGACAAGGCGTTTCTTTTTATTTTGTTTTTTGTCCGGTTGGGAAAACATTTTCTCGTGTCGGCGTCCGTTCAAGAGAATGTCCGTCAAATGCAAATTATATGAGAGTTGGTCGGGACCATGAGAAACTGTCCGTTTAAAGGTGTCCGTGTAAGAGGGGTGTCCGCGAAGGGGATTTTCACTGTATGTAATATTATTTTTTGACATTGGAATAAGTTACAGAAATAGAGTCGACTTGAAAGCATTATTATCTTACGAATTATTGACAATACAACAATTAAAACGACTTTGGGAAGATTCGTTTGTTTGTTTACTTTCTTGTCTCTTTTCGGAAGTACTTTGGTTATCGAAACTTTCTAAGCGGCATTTTGTGAGTTACATAGATACGCAACTTTGCCCACATTTAAGCGGCTTCGACCTCTTGCCGTTTTCGAGATCCCAATGGTGAGGGTCGAATTTGAAACATCCGGTATATGCATAATAGATACATCTGAAAAGAACATGTTTGTAACCAACCGCACTTGCGCACATTATTTCGAGTTTTTCAAAATGCCACATCTACTTGTTTGCTTTCCATTTCGTCTGTCTCCACGACAAGACCTAAGCGCTATATTGCACTAACGAGCTGCTAATGAGCACGAAACAGCGGTGTCTGCGGTTGAACAGGAGACGGAAAGCAAACATGTCCCTTTCAGAATAAAAACTCTTGTTTTTTCAACCATCCTTATTTGCTGTCACTGTCAAGAATAACGTAAGGGAAGGCTTAAAGATTTGTTATTATTGTTGCACTAAAATTCTCTCTCTTCCTCTCGGAATCCTCAGGGTGCTTTAGCAGCATCGCATCGCCCACCTGTACAGGTTCCTGCGGTTGCTGCTCCTGCTGCCTCCGCAGAGGCTCGTCGCTCCACATCGCGGGGTAGCAGGATCCTGCTTTCAATCCTGCAGCGCGCGCCTATCGATCTTGCGACTGCTGCTTGCTTGCCTGCCGTGGACCCGCGACGGAAGGAAGGACATCCAGCAGGCTGCGACCGACGACGCCACAGACGCTTAGATCGAGCCACGGCTGACTGGGTCTCTCGTTGGTTGCAGGTCTCAGGTCAAAATCACGCGACATAAGCACAATAGATTGAGGTCCGACGCGCGATGAGCTTACAGTCAGTGTGGTACCGAACGGGTTGCACCAGAAGTAATCAAGTGACGTGACGCGGAATGGTTCAAATGGTTCTGTGACGCTTTCAACTTGTGAAAAGCCTGAAAGTTCTACTTGTGAAGATCAACGACTATATTGTGTGGGAGTTATCCTGAATAAAACCTTTGAGGTAGTTATTTGAAATACAAGAGGTAGGGTATCATTTCAGTCTTAACAATGAATAAAGTATGGGACAAAAGTTTTGAGAAAAAGTTTGTCCTAAAATAACTACCCGATGTTGATGTCTTATCTAGCTACATAAAACAGGTAAACAAATTGTGTATTGTCATAGATGAACGTCAAATTGCAGGTGAACAAATTGTGTATTGTCATAGATGAACGTCAAATTGTTCAAAAACGACTTTGAAATCCGCAAGAGGATCTATAACTTCTGGACGGTTATTCAAAGCTGAAATTGTGAACTAATTCAGATATCAACATGTTAACCAGGCCAGCATTTATAGGGCAACGGAGAGAATAAATCTTGAATTAATTTGCAAAAATCTGAAACACCATTTATCAGAATATAGGGTTAACAGACTGGTAGAACTCGCCCAAGACGTAAGACATAACTGGAATGTCAAGTCGAAAGCTAGTTTGCCATTTTAGGGTCTCTCACAAAAACGTGTTGAGAACTTTGTTCAGAAATGACGTGCATTTTTGAAAAAGAAGTACATTAAGGTACAACTCGATCGAATAGCTGGATGTAGCAGGATTCTAAGGCGTAGATAACAATGGATTTTACGCCTGCGATATTGGAAATTGTCCAAATGAATCAAAATTCAAAGCAAATGCGACATGCTTAAGACTTATTTTCGTTGCGCTTGGTGCGGGTATCGAAAATATTTTTATCTTTGTCTTAAGTCTTAAAAGCGAATAGACGGAGGTGGCGTACCGCACTGTGTGCCAGCCCTGTAGGGGTGACAAAAAGTGAACTAAAAGGTTTTTATGGGCGTATTTCGCTACACTTGTGGCTGCAGTCCAATTTTTTATTCGAACAGGAAGTGTTGTATAGTATCTATCCATTTTGATGAGCCTATTTCTCAGTTTGCAGATAATAATGCTGACAAAGTTTTAGTCTAGTGTGCGTTTATGAGGCTGGAGTTTAGCACCCTATGTTGGTCGAGTTCGACGAAAAGTTGTGGACGCCAATCCCCAAAAATGCTGACCAAAACTGCATAACTTTACCAACACCATCATCAGAATGGTATGATATTTTGACCTGAGCTCGCTTCCTGTCATTATGTCAGGAGAGCTCTAAAATGGTTAGAACATAATAACGTTAAGAATTATGTACCAAGATAAGACAACATCTCGAATACATCATTCGCTGGGAAAGGATGGGAAGCCCAAATGAACAGCAGTTGCATGCTATTGAAGATCATGGTTCGCCGTCATTTTTGTAGATTCGTTTTCATATTATCAAAAGATGTATAATTAACCCTTAGTATTGATATTTTATTAAAATTTACTTATTTCGTTGACAAAGCATACATTCTTTCTTAAAACTTATGTTTCATATGTTAGTGGTGATTTAGTAATGAGAATTGTACCTTAATTCCTTATTGCTGCTCCTGAACATCGATCTAAATCAAACTGCTGTGTTGTGTGAAGCTTCCTTAATATTAGCTTCTTGTGGACAATTAAACAAGCTGCAGAAGCCTTGAAAGAGGCGGCTATACAGGGTGACTTCGAAGTTGAGTCATTTATTTTAACAGTGAGTAGATCTGATCAAAAGAAATGTTTTTTTCCTTTACCATTTTTCTGGTAAAATTAAAGTAACAAAGTTATAGCCCTTTGGAAGTTTGAGTACCGCCCTGTCTCAATAATAATATCATGTGCTCGTGTTTGGCAACAACGGATATAATCCGCTTTATCGGTTCATCGCATCGGAAACAAAAAAGTGAAAGAATTTGGAACGATGTTTTTACAATTATTTTATTCAGTTCAGTTATACATACAGTCAGTGTCAGTCGGTAACGCGTGTGAATAGTGTCTGTTGCGTGGCTCAAACGAAATAAAAAATGGCACATGTTTATGCGGATTGGTTTCCCAATCGAGTGCAACCAACCCCTCGTGAATCAGGTGACTTAAGACCTCACAGGGGACCTCACGATCAAATACAGGTCCGCACTGAAATACTTGTCGGGAGGATACTTTATAAAACAAGGTAAACATTTTTTTTTAATTTTTTTTTATTTTTACACACATATTTTGGTTTATCTTCCTTCTACAATCATTATCTGAAAATTAATGACTCAACTTCAAAGTCACCCTGTATATTTGCTGATTGTCATTGTCCGTGCTGCTTGACGGTTTGGTTTCAGATTAAAGTCACGCCTGTAGGTATGCTTTCAATTTGTGAAAAGCCTAAAAGTTCGACTTGAAAGGAACTTCGATTGCATTGTGTAGGGAAGGACTCCATTGAGTGGCGGTTATCATAAGCCAACGCTTCAGCAATATCTTTCGGGATATTACGAGAAGTTCGGCAATCCTGGATTTTAGAAAAATACTCGAATATTTCATGGAAGACGCCGCGCTGTATCTGTCCTTAAGGAAACTAGACTGTATTGTGAGACGGATTTATTGAATTGGAGAGCGTGGTGTTATCGGTCTGCGTTCTATCGATTTATTTTTCTAATACTTGAGCAGCTGAGGAAGTAAGGCTTGAATTATATAATCTAAAAATGGACACCGCCGGGATTCGAACCCTAGTCTCCTCTATTCCGCAGATCCGACTCCAATTAGTCTACAGTACCCACGTCACTGTTTCTCCGCGCTGCATTCTAGTGGTTTTTGGTTTGAGAGTGATATGCTCCTGAACTGCTCTAGAAATTGAACACAAAGTACATTGGAGCGACATTGGTGTTAAACACTACTGAGTCACTCACAGTAACTCACATTTGGGTCACTGGAAAGCAGCTCTGTTCCTTCAGGCTGCTTGATGCCTTAACTGGTGGCGTTCAAGTGAAACAAACCGGATTGGTAAGGTATCTCTAATCGCTTTCCAGCCAGCATTAAATTTTCCTCTCACTCAAGTTGTTGGTTACTAAACATATTCGCTGTTACGGATGCGCACATCCGAAGAATCGCATAGAGGTTGCTATCCTCTCGCGGTGATACCCTGGTAAGTGCCCACGAGACGGCGTGGTGCGACTGGAAAGCAACTGGGGATAACCTTACTAATCCGGTTTGTTTCACTTGAACGCAGTCAGATGGGGCATCAAGCATCTTGAAAGAACATAGGAACAGTGGCGTAGGTAGGACTCAATTTTAACAGTCAATCCTGAAAGTTGGTTGACAGCAGACTAATTGGTTAGGTCGGCTTCACATTTTTCCTTTCTCTCAAGTTGTTGTTTACTCAATATACTCGCTGTTACGGATGCGCTCTTCCTAGGAATCGTATACAAAGCGAGCAAGATCAAAATTCTGAAGGGTCATCTTAGAAGTCTGAGAAGCTGATGGCATCGTGAATAGAGAACAAAGAAATGCATTCCGTTGATATATCGAGAAGAAACTGATGTGACCCCGAACAAAAGCTGCTTAAGATTGTGTGTTGATGAAGTGTCATCGATTAGCCGGATTTCCTTCCTTTGGGCCGTATTAACGGACAAACGTTAGGAAAGGCCTTCGGGCCAAATTTTATCAGCTCCTCACTGTCTAGAGGCAACTTAAAAATATTGGATGTCGGAAGATAATTCCAGCTCTGAACAGATAAGCTACTGGCGGGGAGGTACTGTAATCGCGAAAAAATTCTTAAATGAGATATATTTTTTGGATGTTATATGACATGTACATCATGAAAAACCATGTCATTTATTTCAGTCGGTGTGTCTTTCTGTCGGTCTGTCTGTCCGCCAATCCTTGGCCTATAACTTGGAACGTACCGCTCAGATTGATATGAAATTTTCACACAAGGTTACTTCTAGCTGAAAAAGATCCAGTGGCGGCGGAGAAAAAGGCAAAACACGCATAAAATATAAAAAATCGCTGAGACGACGTTTCAGAGGCTGCTGATCATTTTCGGAAAAATCTTTGTAGGGCTTAAAAATTCGGGGTTAGAGGTTGCAGGGGGTGGGGGAGGGTATATTTCAATATTTGACGTTGGTATATTTATACGTTCAACCCTAGTAATTCTACGCACCTATTAAACATATTCTACTCATCATGTTTGTACCCGTACATTTACCCTTCAAATTCTCAACAGTTGCTTGTCGATATGTGCGTCATGTTCCGGCTAACGGTCGTGCATCGCAGTCGACAGACGCTTCCGTGCTGCTGTGGGCTGAATGCTGTGCAAGTCAATATCGTCTTCCACGCGGGATTAGTCATAGCAGCAATCATATGCGCTCGCAGGAATTTGTCTCAGGAGGAGGAGGAAGGTCATTTAATTGTTATACATGTTCTTAGCTGACTTCTCAGAAGAGAAGAATTAATGACAGCTTTACCTGGGAAGTACATAGTCAACTTACTTAGGCCTATTTTTCTGGCAACAGTTATTGATAAGTTTGAACGAGTATCTCTTTGTTAAAATTCAACTTTTTATAAGTACGAGTACTATAGATGTCCATTTGGTAATATCTTATTTGACAAGATGCACTGAAAGGACATGATTGCTGTCTGATGGTTTATCTTGTTATAGTATCTATTCAGTCCACATTATATTACTCATATAATCCTGATGAGAAAAATGCTATGAGAACAAAGAGAGTGTTTGTAATTTAATTATAATGTAACCGCATGTTTGCGGAGACATATTTAAAACAGCAATTTGCCATCAATTATTTTTATAAATATGCATGTAAAATATATCTGATATAGAATAGACTTATTTTCATAAAGCAAAACATATCTCATGTTCT